ACGAGGACAGCAGAGCTCTGCGGGTCTGCACGAGGACAGCAGAGCTCTGCGGGTCTGCACGAGGACAGCAGAGCTCTGCGGGTCTGCACGAGGACAGCAGAGCTCTGCGGGTCTGCACGAGGACAGCAGAGCTCTGCGGGTCTGCACGAGGACAGCAGAGCTCTGCGGGTCTGCACGAGGACAGCAGAGCTCTGCGGGTCTGATACGAGGACAGCAGAGCTCTGCGGGTCTGATACGAGGACAGCAGAGCTCTGCGGGTCTGATACGAGGACAGCAGAGCTCTGCGGGTCTGATACGAGGACAGCAGAGCTCTGCGGGTCTGATACGAGGACAGCAGAGCTCTGCGGGTCTGCACGAGGACAGCAGAGCTCTGCGGGTCTGCACGAATCCAGGGCCTCCAAGGACACACCAAGTGGGTGCCGGTAAGTCAGTCTGGCTATAACAACCTGACTGGCTTCCTAGCCCATCTGGCTTTAGGATACTCGTCTACAGATCTGGGAAGGAACAGCCCTCCTTCAACAGCCTTCTCTGAACGGCTGTTGACAAAAAGCACTCTCTAGTTAGCCTGGGGGCTCAGGGGGCAGGTAGGTCACATCTGGAGAGAGGACTGCACAGAAGGTGTAGTACAGGCAGGGTAAACGGTACCCTCCTTCACCGAACTGGGGGAGAAGCTCGGGGTTTTACGGCAATCTGCCCTCACCCTAGACCTCCTAGGGTCTAAGGAATGAATGTAAGTGCCCTTGGGATGCTAGAATCTTTGCCAGTACCTACCAGTTTATTGCAAGTTACTGACGAGTCCAAAAACAAAAAAAAAAGGGTGTGGTGGGGTGGTTAATATTGTCTCTTTAATCATGATGAGTGTTAGATACCTTGTGAAAAAGGAATACTGGGGATTCAAACAGCCAAACAAAAGGTTGAGAGGGCAGATTCTTGGCCAAAAGAAAAGCCGTTTCCAGTCTTCAAGGACCACTTAAGCTTAGTAACAATGGTAAAAATCTGTAACTCTGATTTTTGCCATCAGATATCACTTGCAATGATGAGACAGATGCTGGCTTCAAGAAGGCCTCAAAGCAAACGCTCATAGTATTACTTCTGAGCCATTTAACTCTTATTTTATACCGCTGATCTCAATAAAATTACCTGAGATTTTTGCTTCTGTCAGATGCTTCAGACTCATCCTTGAAGGTAAGCAGAGTGGGACGATGTCTTGCAAACTTCAGCAGGTATGTAGAAAAAGCAGCTAGCCCCTCTGATCTAAGCTGCCGTGGTTCAGCTTTGTTTAGAACACTTAAAAAAAAAAAAAAAAGACAGGGACTTTTCTTACCAGGTCTTCTCAGTAGCACATAATCAGGACTAGGAACGTGAACCAGGGCCTCTCAACATCCTCGGGATCACTGGCATTTCAAAGCATTTCCTCCAGGTTTGATTTCAGGTGGGATGCTGAGCCTATTTGGGTTCAGAGGTGCTGAAAATCTAGCAAGAAAAGCTAGTTTCAAGTAAATAGAACTATTAAAAATCACTTTTAAGCATGCGTGAGAGCTTGGCATCCCAGCCAAAGCATTACTGAGGTTCGGTTCCCGTTGCCTCTGCCCTTTTATGACTTACTCCGGCATTCCCTTTCCTATCTTAAACATCCGAGTATCCTTTGAATTAAAATCCAGCGTATGTGGCTGTTCTGCAACTGGAGCACAGTGACTGCGTTCCTTGTGGCTAATGCCTTTCTTGGTCCTCCTTCCTCGGAGGATATGGCCCTGTCCAAGGAGAAC